AGTTCATGTTCTCTCCAGTAGTGTATGTGAGTGCTTATTTCTTGACCCTCCCCAACTGTGTTATTGTCAGTCTTTTATCCTGTGACAATCGAGGTGGAAAATGGTGTCTTTTTTTGTTTTTCATCATGCTTTATTTTTTCTGATTCAGAGATCCCATTGATAGATCTGCCTTAATTTTTTAAAATTACGGTAAAATGTACATAACATAGAATTTACCATTTTTAAGTGGCATTAAGTACATTCACATTGTTCGGCAGCCATCTCCACCACTGTCCCTAGAACTTTTTCATCTTCCCAAACTGAAACTCTACCCATTAAACACTAACTAGTCATTCCCATCTCCCCAAGGTTCTGGCAACCACTAATCTACTTTCTGTCTCTATGAATGTGACTGCTCTATATACAGCCCTCTAAGTGGAATCACACTATATTTGTCCTTTTGTGACTCATGTGTTTCACTTAGCATAACGTCTTCATGGTCCATCCAGGTTGTTACATGTGTCAGAATTTCCTTTTTAAGGCTGAATAATAGGGACTTCCCTGGTGGCGCAGTGGTTGGGCATCCGCCTGCCAATGCAGGGGACATGGGTTTGAGCCCTGGTCCGGGAAGATCCCACATGCCGCAGAGCTACTGAGCCCGCATGCTACAACTACTGAAGCCCGCACACCTAGAGCCCGTGCTTTGCAACAAGAGAAGCCAACCCAATGAGAAGCCTGCGCACTGCAACAAGGAGTAGCCCCCGCTCACCACAACTGGAGAAAGCCCGCATGCAGCAACGAAGACCCAATGCAACCAAAAATAAATAAATTTATATTAAAAAAAAAGGCTGAATAATATTCTGCTGTGTGTATATACTACATTTTGTTTATCCTGTAATCCATTGATGGCCACTTGGGTTGCTTCTACCTTTTGGCTATAATGCTATTCACCATTTTGGTGAATAATGCTACTATGAAATGGGCATACAAATTATGTGTTCAAGTCCCTGCTTTCAGTTCTTTGGTTATATACCCATATGTTTAATTGCAGGTTGATATGGTTATTCTATCTTCAATCTCTTAAAAGATTTATTTATTTATTTATTTTGGCTGTGGTGGGTCTTTGTTGCTGTGCGCGGGCTTTCTCTAGTTGCAGCGAGCGGGGGCTACTCTTCATTGCAGCGTGCAGCCTTCTCATTGCGGTGGCTTCTGTTGCGGAGCGCGGGCTCTAGGCTCGCGGGCTTCAGTAGTTGTGGCTCGCAGGCTCTAGAGCGCAGGCTCAGTAGTTGTGGCGCGTGGTCTTAGTTGCTCTGTGGCATGTGGGATCTTCCTGGACCAGGGCTCGAACTCGTGTGCCCTGCATTGGCAGGCAGATTCTTAACCACTGTGCCACCAGGGAAGCCCTATTTTCAGTTTTTTGAGGAATAGTCATGCTGTTTTCCATAGTGGCTGCACCATTTTACACTCCCACCAGCGGTGTATAAGGGTTACGATTTCTCTACATCCTCACTGACTCCTATTATTTTCTTTTTTTCTTCTTCTTTTTTTTTTTTTTTTGCGGTACGTGGGCCTCTCACTGCTGTGGCCTCTCCCGTTGTGGAGTACAGGCTCCGGACGCGCAGGCTCAGTGGCCATGGCTCACAGGCCCAGCTGCTCCGCAGCATGTGGGATCTTCCCGGACCGGGGCACGAACCCGTGTCCCCTGCATCGGCAGGTGGACTCTCAACCACTGTGCCACCAGGGAAGCCCCCCTTTGTTTTTTTTGATAATAGCCATCCTAATGGGTATAAGGTGATATCTCATTGTGGTTTTAATTTGCATTTCTCTAATGATGAGTGATGTAGGCCATCTATTCATGTGCTTATTGGCCATTTGTATATCTTTTTTGGAGAAATGTTTAAGTTCTTTGCTCATGTTTTAATTGGGTTGTTTGTTGTTGCTGTTGAATTCTTTATATATTCTGGATATTAATCCCTTATCAGATATATGATTTGCAGATATTTTCTCCCATTCTGTGGGTTGCTTTTTCACTATGTTGACAGTGTCCTTTGATGTACAGAAGTTTTAAAATTTGATGAATCTTGTTTTAACTTGTAATTTTCTTTGGTATATATTGTACCTACTTTAATTTTTTTGTTAAGGTAATACGTACGCATAGTAAAGAAGAAATAATGGTACAGAAAGATAAAAAAGTAAATGTCTTCTTCTCTTACTCCAAACTGCTAGTGCTTCTTTCTGGAAGTAACCACTGTTAACAGTTTATCTTCCAGAAAACTTTGTATGCACCAAGCAACACATATGTCTATTTATTTATTTAGATTAATTAATTAATTAATATTATTTTTGGCTGCATTGGGTCTTTGTTGCTTCGCGCCGGCTTCCTCTAGTTGCGGCGAATGGGGGCTACTCTTTGTTGCGGTGCGCGGGCTTCCCATTGCGTTGGCTTCTTTTGTTGCAGAGCATGGGCTCTAGGTGTGCGAGCTTCAGTAGTTTTAGCACGCGGGCTCAGTAGCTCCGCGGCATGTGGGATGTTTCCGGACCAGGGCTCAAACCCATGTCCCCTGCATTGGCAGGAGGATTCTTAACCACTGCGCCACCAGGGAAGTCCTATGTCTATTTATTTATTTATTGAATTTTTAGAGCTTTTATTATTATTTTTATTATTTATTTTTAAATTGAAGTATACTTGATTCACAACACATACGACCTTTTAGGACATATATTCAAATGGATTCATACTTTGCTGGTTTTGTTTTGTTTTTACTAAACAAACTGCTATTCACTATACTGTATTTGACCAATACCTTATTGAGGGATATTTTGGGTGTTTTCAGTTTTTGAAATTTATAAACAGTCCTGGGATAAATGCTTTGTTCATATATCATCTTGTACTTTTGCAGAATATATCTTATATGCACCTTTTAAAGATGCTTTGTTGTTGCTGGGGGCAGTTGTGTTCTTCCAGGAAGAAGGTACCAAATCTGTAGCCCCACTGCCTGCCCCCAGAGTGCCACATCCTCCACATTCTCACCAGTTGTAGGAATTATGCCTAAAATAAGCATCCTTACTACCAGTCTGGTGGGTGGGACTTCCCTGGAGGTCCAGTGGTTAAGAGACTCCATGCCTGCACTGCAGGGGGTGTGGGTTTGATCCTTGGTGGGGCAACTAAGATCCCACATGCTGCGCGGCCAAAAAAAAAAAAAAAAAAGACAGTATCTCAGCATTCTAGTCTGAATCTCTTTGAGTACTAAGGAGGTTGAACATAAAATGAGCTCATTTTCCTTTCAGAAGCCCCTGAATGTGACAGTGATCCGCAGAGGGGAGAAATACCAGCTTAGACTCGTGCCGACACGCTGGGCGGGAAAAGGACTGCTGGGGTAAAGTATCCGTGTCCGTTCATTCACACTGCAGCGTGCACTGCATGCTTGCTAGACACAAAGCTGCGGGCGGGAGGTGGGGTCGTTGGGAAATGAAGGGAATTTCCAGACTGCCTGTAGCAACTCATGATAAGTCCTTGTGGCGGGAATGAGATTCCAGGTATGGAGGTGGAGGGAGCCCTGGTCGCTCTGGTTCTTTTATTAACTGGACGTTTGCTTTGAAAGAATGAAAGCATGTAGGTGAAAAGCTCAGGACGGCTCACTTCTGATCTTCCTGAATGGAGCCACAAACTTACACTGTTCCTTTTTTTTCCTTCCAGCTGCAACATTATTCCTTTGCAAAGATGATTGTCCCTGGGGAACAGAAACAGGAAAGCATATTCCCTTGCCCCAGACTTGGGTCTAGTGGGCATTTCCTCCTTCTCTTCTCTTCCTGAAGCTCAAGGATCTGGAAGAGGCTGGGAGCCTGAACTTCTAGGTGGTAGAAACGCTGTGGCCTCCCAGTGTGATCTCTTGGGATTAACGCATTGTTAAAAACTAGATTTGTGTTTAGCATCTTCTGCAAATTAGGCCACGGCCCTACATGGGAATCCTCTGGATTGTGAGCAGGTGGGTGGGAGTTATTCTGGTAGGTGCTGATGTGACTTTATGCTTCTAGAAATTTTGTTTTTTTCCCCCAAATAAACAGTTTTACAGTGTTGATATGAGCATGTTATCACCCCAGCTGAATTTCCTATGAACTTCTCAAACCAAAGCTCAGGTGGGAGTTAGATCAGCCTCAGGAAAGTTGGGCAGAACAAACTAACAATTGTACTGAAGTCAAGATTTGACCAGCAACATCTCTGGGACGTCATCCTTTAGTGAATGGGGGTTCCAGACGCTCAGGCTGCACCTGCGTTTGCACTGCGGCATTGCTGCTCTGGATACAGGATAATTGAGTCTCCTGGGCCTGCCCTCGGATCAGCACTTTTGTAGACTGCTAAGGTGTGTTGACATTGCTGATGGGAACCAGCAGTGTGTGCAGCGCTGTCTTCTTGCAAATGCTGATTCCTCCTTCCTTCCTTCCTTTTATTTTCTCTCTTTAACATGGCAAAGTGAGTTTCAGTGATTCCTAGTGCCTCCGTGCTTTACTTTTTTTCTCTCTTCACCGTATCACAGTGTTTTATTTCCACAGTTCTTGCAGACCACTTTCTGTTTCAGAGGGCATCTGGCACATTCTACTGAGGCATGCTTGGGTTCTTCAGGCCTGGATTTGCTTGGCTTAGATGCAGATATCAGCTCGCCCTGACGGGAGTCAGTACTGGGTGTGCTTCCAGCCATGGGTGCTCGTGCTCGGCTGGAAAGCCTTCCTGTTAAGTGTCTGCCCCCAAACACCATGTACTCTAGCCGAATGTCCACGTGGATTTCCCCCCTTGTAGCCACAGACGTGCTGTGTTTACCAGTGTTTAAATTGTTTTTCTAATTCCACGTGTTTTCCAATCTTTTATAAGCCCTAGACTATAATAAACCCAGCTTGCCCCATCCAGCAATCCCTTTTATTTTTTTGAGATGTATGCAAATGCAGCAACCAGCATTGGGGTATGAGGGTGGGGTGGGGATGGAGAGACTCATTCACATCCTCCTAAAATGATAGCAGCAGAGAGTCTTCTGCATCAGTGCCTTTGGCTGGTTTCCTGCAAGCCCCCCCGCTTCAGAAACCTCAGGATGGCCACGCAGGTGGGCTGTCTTTTGTGAGGTTCTAGTGGAGAGACACTTGGAGGTGGAATCATCCTAATAGATTTAACAAACTGGTTTTGCAGAAACGTTATGTGATAAGATAATGTAACCTATGAAACATTTAATCCCAGCTGGCTAAAATTTTCTGTACAACATCTAGTGCCCGGGCGAGGAGGTGGGGAGGACAGCTGTGTGCTGCACCAATGAGACCGGGAAATTTAGTTTGCTTTTGACAAAGAGAATTTTATCAAACCGTTCGTACTTCTTCACATAACTTTGTCAAGTCTTCAGAAAGTCAGAGTTGCTAGGATTGGCCGCTGCATCTTCTCATGGGATGGCACCAAGGGAAAACATGGGGGAGAGTGGGAGGGGAGGAGAGAGGTGAGAGGAAAGCCAATTTTACCTCCCAAGTCGCGGCGGCAGGGGGCGAGCTCGAACAGCTCCCCGCTCCCGCTCCCGCCGCTTTCTGGGCACGTGACCGCTGTCCAGCCTTCGTGCTTTACGGCCCGTCGCCTGCAGGGGGCAGCGATTACCATGGAGACGGGGCTTGGGTGGCGACCGTAACTAGGGAGCCCTTGGAGGAGAAAGCGGCGGCAGCTGGAGGCCGGGAGGTGGACAAGGGGTTCACGCGGCGGGAAGACCCCGGCCTTTGAGGACCAGGGTGGGCGCGCTCTGTGAGTCAGGGGCGGGGGCCCCGGCAAGGAGGGGCCTGGTGCCTCTTGGGGGGCGCTCACCCCACCTGGGCTCGCCCTAGGGCAGCTCCAGGCAGACCTGAGCTGGAGGAAGGGTCCACGCCTGGGCTTTGTGCCCCCACGGACGCACACACCTGCTCCCCGCACCCCCCATGAGGAATGTGGCAAAGTTTGGCAGTCGGAAGAGGCTCTGTACTAAGGGCCCTAGACTTGAAATCTTAGCAATTTTTCAGATGGCGGAACTGAACATTGAGAGGTCTGCTTCTTACTCGCTGTATGATCTTGAATAAGTCACTTCACCTCTCAGAGCTTCAGACTCTTAAGTTTGCTGTAAGAAATAAACGAGAGAACATGTTAGGCTTTTTAATTTTCTAGACTGCTACCATTTCTCAAGCAGTCTGTGCTGCAACTGGAGCATTTTACATATGTCATTTCATCTAATCTTCACAACACCCCCAGAATTTAGGGTTATCATTTTAATTTTGCCTGTGAGCAGATTTAGACTCCGAGGGGTAAAGTGACTTGCCCAAGGTCACAGAGCACCTGAGTGGTGGAACTGGGATTCAATGCCAGGAGAGGCTGACTGGAAAGCCAACACTTTTAACCGCTAAGGTACCTGCTTCTTCCCCTATTCGTATTATTAGAACTGTTGCTAATGCCTGGGTTATCATTTTGCTGCCTGTGGGAATATGAATATATATACACTGAGTTAGAGGGCTCTAAAATTATCCTCAGAAAGATGAGGCCCGGGATCAATATTTTTAAAGATTTGAGACAGGCTTTCCCAGGAGTATGGCATTCTTTTTATTCCCATGGAAAGGAACAGAGCTGGTATTGCACATTTCATTGATGGGTTTGTGGACCAGGAAATCAAAATGGAAAACAGAGGGCCCTGCTGACTTTTATGCTCAAAATTTCTCTAGAGACATCTCCAAAGAGAAGAATGTCAGATGCAGAGGAAAACCCACTGGAAGAAACAGAAGAATATGGAGAAATAGAAATGGAAGAAGGAGAAGAAGAAGAAGAAGAAGAAGAAGAAGAAGAAGAAGAAGAAGAAGAAGAAGAAGAAAAATATCCAAATGATGAAGGGCTAGAAAATATGCAACAGGAATTAAAAGAAGATAACACATTAGCGTGGAGAGGGTCTCAGGAGGAGGGGGAAGCGGAGGGAGAGGGAGCGGAGGGGAAAGAAGAGGGGGAAGAATTTGGGAAGGAGGAGGCAGCAGGAGCACAGGAAGAAACCACAGTGAAGCCCCAAGAAATCACCAAGTCCATGATCAGTTTGGAGAGACTTACACCAACTGATTCCCAATCAATCTTGTCAGGAACACTCCCAGTAAGTAGGAATTTTCATTCATTCAATCATTCGTTTGTTCATTCATTCATTCCTAATCATTAATTGAATGCTTGTTACCCACTTACCTGCCAGGCTCTGTGGATATAAAACCAAGTAAGACACAATCCGTTCTCTTAAGGAGCTCTAGGGTATGTAGGGAGGCAAACATTATAAAACTAAGTGCAGTGATTGAGAGGTACCTAGGAGATATGTATCTATATAAAGGCCGACTTGACCCAGCTTGGAGGATGATCAGGGAAAGCTTCCTGGAGGAGGTGTGTACCAGGGCTGACTTAAAGGACAGGGGTTAGCTGGAGTGTGCTTGTCTAAACAGCCTGTAAAATCACCTCTGGTCCAAGGAGAAGTGACTCTCTGTGGCTCTGTGGTGCTTTTGGAGGCCACCAGTGCCACTTAGAAGAATAATTCTGCTGTTGTGGGTCTGCTAGTAGGCCAAGGATAAACCTGACACACCCATGATTCATGTTATTTGAGTACAGAATGTCCCAGGCTCTTTTTAAAAAGTGCTTCATAATTCCGATGTGAGGCTAACACTAAGACTGGCTGATTAGGAAGAGAAAGGAAACTAAATGAGGGCATGTAGCAGCGTGTACTGTATTTGGAATCACAATCTCCTTTCTATTTCTTTTTTAAGAAAACCTATAGTGGTAGAGAGTCAAGGCATTCATTACAATCAGAGCTTTTGGAAACATTTGAACTTCCAAGCATGGCCTCGCAATTAGAGTTTCTTGATTTGGATCTAACCACTCCTGCGGGACAACAGCTTAGTTCCCCTGAAAAGCAGCCTTCGGGCGAGCTTGCAGAGAGAACCGACCAGAGGCCCCAAGATGAATTGGGACAAGAAAAGAGACACTTGGAACCAGAAAGGGGAGACTTGGAGCCAGAAAAGAGAGAAGGGAGAAAAGAAACAAGAGTATTATACGTAAATGAGAAAAAAGAAAAAGAATTCCAGCCCAAAGCAAGGATCCCTAAGGGGTCACTGGTCTCCACTGCCACCGAGGACATTTTGTTCCAAAAGGATGACGGTGCCAACGTGTATCCCTTGGTAAGTGCAACATGCTTTTAAATTTCCCCCAGTGTTTTGAGAGTATTGTGAAATAGGGGAATTTTATGCATATGGAAAAAAATACCACCAGAAAGCTCCTTTTTAAGCTAATCACAGACCCGTGTCTTTGTAAAGTTCAGTTTGGAGCTGTGGCTGGACATGTGTGACAGTATGTGGACAGGAACGCTGCATCTGGGTTCAGCAGCGTTGCTCTGCAGGCAGGAAATTCCACACGTGGTTTGTCCGTTGTATAGGACGCTGTTTTCTTGGGGGAGACTCAGAATCGACCTCTCCCCTTTCCCCTCTCTTCTCGCTCCGTCTGTCTCTCTCCCTCCCTTTCCCTCTCTCTCTCCCACATCATGATACTCCTCCTCCATACCACCAATTCCTTGCCTTTCCCTCCTCTCCTCGCCTCTTCTGCTGTAACTGGCTTGATCCCTTTACCAGCTCCTAAAACCACCACAGGTTCCTAAAACTATCCATCCCAAGATAGACCAGTAAGTCAAAGGTCTGGAAAAAGTGAAAGCCACCGGGAAAAGCACCAGGCGGTCCAAAGGAGTCTGCCTTTGCTGCCGCTGACAGTGTTCCAGGGAGGCGCCATCTGCGAGGGTAAAAATATTATCATTTGCCAAGAGAAGGAAGAGGAGGGTTTTTTTTTTTCCCTTCTCCTTCTTTCTTCCTCCATCTGCTACTTTCTGAAAATTGTTTCCTAGGATTCATCTTTTTTTCTCCCCCCACCGTAGATTCATGCCTTTGGAAGATTTGTAAGTGATGGACTGTGTGTACTTAATGCAGTTCCTAACACAGAGTGAGCGCTTGACAAGTGTTAACAACTAGGTGATGGTGGTGACGGTTGAGCTGGCGGTGGTGACGGAAGGATGCCGAGGGGGAAGTGCAGAGAACTGACAGCCTCCTTTCTGTAGATTTGGCTGACTTTGAGCAATGGAGTTAAAGGTTCAAGCTTGCAGTTGCTCAGTCTGAAAGAAAGAGTAATTGAGTTTATTTATTTATTTGGCCACACTGAGCGGCATGTTGGATCTTAGTTCCCCAATCAGAAATTGAACCCTTGCCCTCTGCAGTGGAAGCTCAGAGTCCTAATCACTGGACTGCCAGGGAAGTCCCAAGAATAATTGAGTTTTAGAGCCCATGAAGACATTTGTCTTGTTTAGCCAACTAACCAGAAATCAGGTAACGTCACTAATTAGAGCAAGCGATCTTTTTATCCAGGCCCCAGCTACCTGGACTTGACAAAAGCCACTGCACAGGTCTGGGCCCCCGTTAGCCTTGGACTCACCGCAGAACCAAACTTTCCTAGGCCTTCTCTCTTTGCAGGTTTGCTTAGCTCTTTGGGTGCGCCGTCTTTCTTTTTCCTTTCCTTTCACCTTTATTGTTTCTTCTTTTGTTAAAATGAATTAGTGCTCTTTATAAAAAAAAATATACAAAGGCAAAGATTCCTCTTCTCGAACACACTCCCATCCCAATCCCATTTTCCTGAGGTGACTACTGTTGCAGTTTGGTATAACTATCTCTCCAGACCTTTGTTGGTACATATATAAACATGTATCTGTGCGCACACACGCACACGATTTGTGTTTTTAGTTGTTCGTTTTTGCAGTGAGATATTCTGCATTTGTGCATAAATGTTTTTGCACTTAACATGTCTTAGAGGATTTTTTGTATCAGTGCGTGTATATCCACTGCCTCATTTTAAATTCGGCTGTTTCCTTATTGATGGCCATTCATGCTGTTTCTAATTTCTTGCTCTCACCAAAGGTGCTTCAGTGAGTGTGTGCCCCTCCATCTCTGTGCTCGCAGCATCCTCCTTTTCCTTTGGGCTCCCCCAGCTTATCCCAAAGGCCTGTAATAACTCGCAGTGCTCATGGTAAATAGACCTAACCGTGAATACCACCTCTAGCCAAGTAACAAGGTATCATGTGTTTATGAGAAGGAATCATACAACTATCAAATGCAGTGAAATCTGATTTTGACAATAAAGTTTTGTTTTCCAGATGACCATGTTTTAGAAGAAGATTGATGTAAGAGGTGGCTGTCTCCATCATCATTCGCCATGAGTGTTAAAAGTAGTGGAAAATGCGATGAGTGTTAGTACTGTGTGATTTCGGTTAATGTGAGGGCTGCTCAAACAAGGAAGTTCTGTTACTACCGAGTGAGGTCAGCCTAGTTTTGACCTTGAAAGAGGTTTACCTGGAGACAGGAGTCTAGTTAAGAGTGTTTTCTTTTTATAACTAATCTGTTAAATCTCAAAATAAATTTCCAGGACGACTATAAGGCCTTTTAGAATTAGCAGGTTTCCAAAAGAACCATCTCACTTGAAGAAATTGGCTCTTAAGAACCAGCCAGATATGAAATAGTTCCGTTCCTAGAAGTTGCAGCTTGAGGCAATTATGATTCCGTGATTCTACCACTCACACCCACACAATAAAAGACCTAAATATAAATATAAATTACAGCGAATGAGCAGATGGAATCAGGAGAGAATGGGGAACGAAGGGTGTAGGAGAGAGAAATCGGCCACGTTGCCCACTCTGTCTTGGGAGAAATATACGGTACATCAATTTAACCTTAAGTATCATTAAAGATCAGAAAGGAAACTCACCAGATTTCATTTCTTTATTTTTTTTTCTTTCGGCCGTGAGGCATGCAGGATCTTAGTTCCCCGACCAGGGATGGAACCCGCGCCCCCTGCAGTGGCAGCTCGGAGTCTTAACCATTGGACCGCCAGGGAAATCTCATCACCAGATTTCATTTCTATGCTCCCATATAACCCACTGATTTTTGGTAACTAATCACTTAGCCATCACTTTAAATACTCTACCACATCAGCCTTGGTTAATTTTTTAAATAGACTTTATTATTTGGGGGCAGTTTTGGGTTTATAGAAAAATGGAATGAAAAACACAGAGAATTCCCACATACTCCCTTGTGCCTCCTTCCCCCCTCATCTCCTCTATTATTACCATCTTGCATTAGTGCAGTACATTTGTCGCAATTGATGAGCCAATATGGATGAATTAGAATTACCTAAAGTCCATAGTTTATACCTTAGGGTTCACTCTGTGATGTACATTCTCTGGGCTTTGACAAATGCATAATGACATGTAACTACCATTGTTGTTTGATACAGAGTAGTTTCACTGCCCTAAAAATGTCCTGTGCCCTACCTGTTCATCTCTCCCTCCCCCTTATCCCCCCCACCACAAGCCCCTGACAACCATTGATTTTTATTGTCTCCATAGTTTTGCCTTTTCCACAGTGTCATGTAGTTGGAATCATACAGTTTGTGGCCTTTTCAGGCTGGCTTCTTTCACTTAGCAACATGCATTTAAGGTTCCTCCACATCTTTTCATGGCCTGCAACCTCATTTCTTTTTATTGCTGAATAATATTCCATTGTATGAATGTACCACAGTTTATCCATAATTTTTGTAAGAGACGTTGAATACAAAAATATACATAAACAAACTACTATTGAATTGGAAGCAGTAGTTGGATTTATAGTACCTATTATTTTTCATTTCATGAAATTTTTATTTTGGACTTGTTCCTGGCAGTGTGGAATTTTTAATCCTCCTGAGGGAATTTTGTCTCTTTTATACTTTTCCTTCCAGGGAAAATCGTGTATAAGGAACAAATACCCAGGCTGAATAATTGCCTTTCTTACGAAGTTACTTAGTGACTTTATTATAACTTGTCCATTCTACGTACTCTCGTTCAGTAAATTGAATTTCACGACATTAAGTGCTCACTGTGTGTCTGGTACTGAGCTGGGTCTAGGTCCTGGGGAGAAGATGAATAGGAAGTTGTTTCTATTTACTGTTGAAGACTTTCTTTTTTTAAAGGAAACGTCTTTATTGAAATATAACGTATAAACAGAAAGAGCACACGCAAGTGTAGAACTCATTGAATTCTTATACAGCAAACACGCCTGTGTAAGCACCACGTAGCTTTTCTTTTCAAATCGAGGTAGAATTCCCATCCATAAAATCCACCCTCTTAACTTTTTCTTAAAAGATTGTGGTAAAAGGCACATAACATAAAATTTACCACCTTAACCATTTTTATGTGTAAAAGCTCAATGGTATTAAACACATTCACACGGTTGTGCAGCCACCATCATCACCCGTCCCCATAACCCTCTTCATCTTGTGAAACACACACTGTACCCACAAACACCAGCTCCCCAACCCCACCCCGGTCCCTGGCTAACTGCCCTTCTACTTTCTGTCTCTATGAATTTGACTACTCTAGGGACCTCATATAAGTGGAACCATTCAGTTCATATTTGTCTTTTTGTGACTGGTGTATTTTACTTATATAATATCCTCAAGGTTCGTCCATGTCGGAGCATGTGTCAGAATCTCCATCCCTTTGGAGGCTGAATAATACTCACCTTTTGTTTATCCATTCATCTGTTGATGGACACTGGCTTCTTTTCCACCTTTTGGTTACTGTGAAATATGCTGCTATGGACGCGGGTGTACACATATCTCTTTGAGACCCTGTTTCCTGTTCTTTGGGGTAGATACCCAGAAGTGTAATTGCTGGAGTATATGGTAATTGTATTTTCAGTTTTTTGAGGAACCTCCATACTGTTTTCCACAGCAGCTGCACCATTTCACACTCCCACCAGTAACGCACAAGGGTCCCAGTTTCTCCACATCCTTGTAAAGTTTACCCTTTAAAATTAAAAAAAGTTTTTAAAATTTATTTTTGTTGAAATATAGTTGATTTACAATGTTGTGTTAGTTTCAGGGGTACAGCAAAGTGATTCATATGTATACATATATGTGTATATATATATATATATATATATATATTCTTTTTCAGATTCTTTTCCCTTATAGGTTATTACAAGATATTGAGTATAGTTCCCTGTGCTATACAGTAAGTCCTTGTTGGTTATCTATTTTATACATAGTAGTGTGTATCTGTTAATCCCCAACTCCTAATTTATCCCTCCCACCCCCCCTTCCCCCTTTTGTAACCATAAGTTTGTTTTCTATGTCTGAAAATTTCCCTTTTCCAGTATACAGTTGATTGGTTTGTAGCCTGTTCTCAGAACATTTCCGTCGCCCCAGAAAGAAACCCATACGCAGTAAGCAGTCGCTCCCCATTCCCCCTCCCCTCACCCCCTGGCAACCACTCATCTGCTTTCTGTCTCTACGGATCTGCCTATTCTGGACATTTTATGTAGATGGAGTCACACAGTGTGTGGTCCTTTGCATCTGGCTCCTTTCACGTAGCATCACGTTTTCAGGCGTCATCCACGGTGTAGCGTGCTCTTGAGGACTTCTCAAGGTGATGTCTCTTCATTGGCTGATGATGTGAATCCTTCTCCTCCAGGACTCAGGCCGGGAGTACCCGGCATCACAGCTCTGGGTTCGTGCACCGTAGCGTCTTCCCGGTTTTACCTTTGTCTTCCAGGCCATGACCTGGTTGTTCGGATGGAACAGTTCCCTTCCTGTTTACTACATTCAAGATGAAAACCAGAGAGTTCTTCTGTATGCCAGTGCTAACACTGCGGTCATCTACAATGTCTTCAAGAATAACCAGCACCATCTTCAGGTTTGCAGGTTTTCTTACTTCAAGTGAAAGAGGTTGTTTTTAACCTGAATACAGCACTTTGGTTGTTATTGTTGTTGCTTTTTAATTAATTAATTAATTTTTGGCTGCGTTGGGTCTTTGTTGCTGTGTGCAGGCTTTCTCTAGTTACGGCGAGCAGGGGCTACTTTTTGTTGTGCGCAGGCTTCTCATTGCGGTGGCTTCTCTTGTTGCGGAGCATGGGCTCTAGTTGCGCGGGCTTCAGTAGTTGTGGCACGTGGGCTCAGTAGTTGTGGCTCGCGGGCTCTAGAGCGCAGGCTCAGCAGTTGTGGTGCACGGGCTTAGTTGCTCCGCGGCATGTGGGATCTTCCCGGACCAGGGCTCGAGCCAGTGTCCCCTGCATTGGCAGGTGGATTCTTAACCACTGTGTCACCAGGGAAGTCCAGCACTTTGGTTTTTATTTCAGGGGTCAACTTCATTCCCTCTCATACACATTTTCCCTCTTCTCTTCTGAACCATAGCAGATTTTTTTTTAGGAACACATTTTATTGTTCGTTTTCTCTCTGATTCTAATCAGAATAGCAGTTGACTTTAATTTTATAGTAGCTAGAATCTAAAGCATCTGTATTTTTTACATTTCTGTAAAAACGTGGTCAGGAGAGACCATGTTGTCTCCACAGGACTATGGTGAGATGCAAAGGGATTCGGACCTAATTAACACTCAGACTCCTTTCCAGGGCTCAAAGGGCTTTGATCCTCCTACTCCTGCTGAGAAGTGAGTGTTAATATTCCCATTTCACAGGAGAGGAAACTGAGGCTCAGAGGGATTTAGCTGACTTGCCCAAGGCTGTGCTAGCAGATGCTGAAGCCAGGTCTTACATCCAGGTCTCCTGACTTTAAAGCATTAAGTGGGTCAGTCTTTCCTCCTGTCTCCTCCCTCCAGCACCTGGCTTTATTTACACCCTGCTCTGTGCCTCCCCGAATGCCCCACATGCCTGCCTTCCCCTCAGTGCTCTGCCTCCTCTGTTCCGGATGTTTTTGACCCCTTTTTCATCATTTACCTGTCCAAATGTCACGTTTTCCTGGTGTCCGATTTTCCACTAGTTAACCTGGTAAACAGTTCCATGTTACCCTTTTCAGTTGACATATAAGGACCTTCCTTAGTCAATGCCTAGATCAGAAACTTCACAAAGTATTTTCCAAGAGCTCAGCCAGTATTCAGCATCGTGCCAGGGATCCAAGACACGTGGGTGTAACTTAAGGAATTTGCTTTCTAGAAGTCCTGAAATACACACACAGTCAGCAAGCAGCCCTTCTCAGAGCTTAGTTGAATGTGTAGCACTGAGCACAGAGGTAGCGGCAGGGGGAGAAAGCACAGTGTGGTGGGCAGGCTCAGAGTCAGGGGGGTGGGCGGGGCAGAGGGGCTGAGAAGTAGGAAGGCGTCCAGCCTCCGCAGAGTTGGATGGCTGGGAGTGGCCTTGGCCATTTGTTCGTTCGTTCATTCATCCCACGTGTATTTATCATAACCACTATGTTTCAGGTGATGGGTCTGTAGTCATGAACAACATAGATCTAGTCCCCCCTCATGGAGAGACAGTCGTTAAACAAGTGAACACAGAAGCATATACCTAAAGATTTTAACAGTTGCTCGAAAGGAAACGTGAAAATGCTCTAAGAGGGAAGCATCAGGGTGAGAGGAGATTCCTCTGGATTGGGTGGGCAGGGAATAAAAAAGTGCTGTTTGTGCCAAGACCTGAAGGCTGAGCATGAGCTAGCCTGGGGCCGTTTTGCCGGGGAACAGCATCCCAGACAGACAGAGCTCCGAGTTTTCAGGCCTCGTGCATGAGGCCCAGACAGAGGCCAGAGTGAGCGAGGGGTGACACGGAAGGAGGGAAACAGGGGTTGTTTCCCGGCTGCCATCTTGTTTGTGTTTCCAGAAGATTCCTCTGTTGTGTGGGGAAGATGGTAGGAGGATACGAGTGAAAGCAGAGGCCCGTGAGGAGGCTTTGGTTCCAGAGCTGCTCAGTGACCTGAGTGAGCAGTTTTGGGGGAGATGAGGCTGGTAGGGAGGTTCGAGGGGGCTGGAGGTGGGGGGACCTGGACATGTATTCTCAACGTGGGCTCAGAGTCGGGTATACGCCTCGACCCCTAGGAAGCCACTGTTCTTGCAGGGAGTGCAGCTTACCCTGAGAGTGTTTTGAGGGGAAGTTTGAAAACCTCTGGCTGTAGAGAAACACCAGGGAAGGCGGGTGGGAGTAGGATTTTCAGCCAGCGGCATCTGGAAAGGGAGCTCAGGTGTGCCTCCGGGGCCCCGCCTTTCCTGCTGGTGCCAGGGCTGGGCCCCCCCCAACCCCTGTCTCAGAGTGACTTCTCTCCACGTCTGCAGGGCCACCCCAACGTCATCTCCTGCCTCTGCATCAGTGAAGACAGGCGCTGGGTCGCCACGGCTGACAAAGGGCCCGAATGCCTGATAATCATATGGGACTGCTTCACGGGGTAGGCATGTCGTAGCCACTTCCCCCCGCGTTTTTGTACAGCGTCTGCCACCGTGACCCGCAAAAAAAGGAGTCATGCCGGTCCAGGGATACAGAAGCTGGTGCTGGGAGGCAGGGCGAGGGGCGAGGTTCTCAGGGGAAGTTGTCTTACTGCCTCAAGCCCTGTTGGGATGACATTACTTTGGTGAATTTCCCATGGGTGATTCTTGGCTCTCTAAGCCCAGAAACTTGGTTTGTCGGTGGCCCCCAGGCAGACAGGGTTGAGGGAGGCTAACTCACACTCACCCAGCTGGGAGACCCGGAGAAATTATGTGACTTTCACCATCTGCCCAAAAAAAAAAAAAAAGACTAATCGTACTTACTGTCTTCATTTCCCTGGGCTCTGTAAGAAATTACCCCAATTTGGGTGGCTTAAAATCACAGAAATTTATTTTCTCACTGTTCATGAGGCCAAATGTCTGAAATTGGGGAGTCTGCAGGGAGCTCCTGGGGCCCTGAGAGAGAATCTGTCCCATGCTCCCCTCCTCCTTTGGGTGGTTGCTGACATCCTTGGGTGGTCCTTGACCTGTAGACACGTCACTCCAGCCTCTGCTTCCATCTTCCTGTGGCGTTTCCCCCTCTGGGTCTCTCTGTAAGGTCTTCTCTTTTATAAGGACTCCAGTCATTGGGTTTAGGGTCCACCCTAACCAGTATGACCTCATGTTAACTAATTACATCCGCAGAGACTCTCTTTCTGTATAAGCTTGCTTCTGAGGTTCTGGGTGGAATGAATTTCGAGGGGGAGCTATTTGATCTACTTTACTTACCCTACCGGATTGTTAGGAAGATCAGAGCACAGCAGCTGGCCCAGGATAGATGCTCACAGATGTGTGTCCTTTCGTAATTCCTGGTCCTGGAGGCAGAGAGTAGTGCTAGATTCACTGACAAGATTGTAAGGCCTTGGTTGGGTGTGTAGGGGGGTGGGATGGGGTGAGGTGGGGGGTGGACGAGTCCAGGTGGAGAAGAAGTTTAGGAAGAAGTTATGTTGAATGTTCTGTGACCCAGGAACTGCTCTCTCCCAGGTGACCAGTGGCCTCCATAGGGCCATATTACCTAATCATTTCCCCTGGCCCCTCTGACACCATGTCCCCTGGTCCTCATCCTGCTTGCTGTCTGTTCCCTCTCAGACTCTTTTCAGCCTCATCCTCCTCTGGCCATTCCTTAGCTGTGGCCTCAGGGCGTGAGGATGCTGTTGGTGATGTTCTCCAGCCAGGCAGGAGCAGAGCCAGGGTTTGAAACTGCACCATCTTACTCTCAACAGCCGTCTCAGTGTTTCCTGTCTGCTGATGGGGAAGCTGCTGGAGGACAGTCCACCTGCATGTCCCGTGGGCATCTCCTGCTAAAATGTCCAAAAGTCCTGCGCCTCCACCTCCAAATAACTTCTGAACCCACATCCACTGCCTCTGCCCACCCTCTCCTGCTTGGGCCATTGCAGTAGCCTCCTGACCGATCTCCCCCACTGCAGTTTTGCTCTTCAACCCAGCCTCCGTGACACTGAACCACTTTTAAATGTATATACAATTCACTGGCATTAATTACATTCACAGTGTTGTGCAGCCATCACCACTATTTCCAGAACACTCACAGCACCCAACCAGAAAATCTGAACTAATGAATTCCTCATTCTCCCCTCCCCTCAACCTCTAATCTACTTTCTAGCTGTAAAGATTTGCCTATTCTGGACATCTCATGTCCGTGGAATCATACAATATGTGGCTTTTGTGTCTGGCTTCTTTTACTTATAATATTTTCAAAATTCTTCCATGTTGTAGCATGAATCAGTACTCCATTCCTTTTTTTAGCTGTTTAAGATTCCATTGCATGGATATAACACATTTTGTTTATCCATTCATCTGTTGATTTTTTTTTTTTTTTTTT